CATACAACACTCACCCTGAAAATTTAAATATTAGTAACAAAATAATTTTTACTTATTATTTTATTTTTATTATTATTATTATTTCTGATTTTACATATAGATCCCAGTTCCCTCTCCCTCCTATCCTCCCATTCCCCCCCACCCCCCTCCCGACCCATTCCCCACCAACCCCACAGGGAGGATGATGTCTTCCAATAGGGATCAACAAAATCTGTCAAGTCATTGGAGTGGGGTCTAGGCCCTCCCTCCTGCCTCTAGGTTAGGGGAGTATCCCTCCATGGGGAATTTGCTCCCAAAGTCCTTTTGTGCACCAGGGATACATCCTGGTTCCACTGTCAGAGGTCCCATAGACTGCCCAGGCCTTTTAACTGAGACCCACATTCAGGGCGTCTGAGTCAGTCCCATGCTGGATTCCCAGCTATCAGTGTGGGGGCCTGTTATCTCCTCCTTGTTCAATTCAGCTGTCTCAGTGGGTTTCTGTAGCCTGGTCTTGACCCCTTTGCTCATCACTTCTCCCTCTCTGCAAATGGATTCCAGGAGTTCAGCTCAGTGTTCAGCTGTGGGTGTCTGCTTCTGTTTCTATCAGCTACTAGATGAGGTCTCCATGATGGTAGATAAATTAGTCATCAATCTCATTATCAGGGAAGGGCATTTGTGGTAGCCTTTTCACTGTTGCTCAGATTGTTAGTTGGGCTCAGTCTTGTAGGTCTCTGGACATTTCTCTAGAGTCAGTTTTCTCTTCAAACCTATAATGGCTCCCTCTTTTATGCTATCCCCTCTCTCTGCTCTCCTCTATTTGTCCCCCTACTCAATCTTCCTGGTGCCACTTGTTCTCCTTTCCACCCTTCTCCCAACTCCCTCTCCACTCAATGCCCCCCCACTCCCACTCCCCCAACTCCCCATACCCCTGCTCCCAATATGCTCAGGAGATCTTGTCCCTTTCCCCTTCTATGGGAGACCTTGTATGAATCTCTTAGATTCTGGTGTGAATTGTAGGCTGGTGATCCTTTGATCTAGGTCTAAAATCCATATATGAGCGAGTACATACCATGTTCCTCTTTTTGTGACTGGGTTACCTCACTCAGGATGGTTTCTTCAAGTTCCATCCATTTGCCTGTGAATTTCAGGTCCTCCCCCCCACCCCCGCTGAGTAGTATTCTATTATGTAAATGTACTTCATATTTACCCATTCTTCAGTTGAGGGGCATCTAAGTTGCTTCCAGGTCCTTGCTATTACAAATAATGCTGATACAAACCTAGATGAACAGATGTCTTTGTTGCATGGATGTGGATCATTTGGGTATATGCCTAAGAGTGGAATTATCAGGTCCTGTGGTAGACTGATTCCCATTTTCCTGAAGAACCGCCATACTAATCTCTAAAATGGCTGTATGAGTTTGCACTCCCACCAGCAGTGAAGGAGTGTTCCCTTTCTCCACATCCTCTCCAGCATAAACTGTCTTTGGTGTTTCTAATTTTAGCCGTTCTGACAGGAGTAAGATGGTGTCTCAGAGTTGTTTTGATTTGCATTTCCCTGATGGCTAAAGATGTTGAACACTTTCTTAAGTGTCTGTCAGCCACAAAATAAATTTTTGAGAAATAAAGTTCAGTACATTTTCAGGAGACAATGACAGGAGTGAAAAGGACCGTAAATGTGTGTGTGTGTGGGGGGGCAATTTGCACTGTCAATGAATTTAGGCCTAATCTTTTTGTTGTTGATTTTTGGGACAGGGTTTCTCTGTGTAGCTTTTTTGGAGACTGTCCTGGAACTCACTTTGTAGACCAGGCTGGTCTCAAACTCACAGAGATCTGCCTGCCTCTGCCTCCAAAGAGCTGGGATTAAAGGCGTGAGCCACCACCGCCCAACCTGGCCCTAATCATTTTAAGTGATGAAATTTCCTCTTTTCTTGGTGGAAGTGGATGGGGGATGCAATTTCAAAGGTATGTTTTAGGAATTTTAACCCAGGAAGCAAGATTCATTACATGAAAACATCTAAAGTTTCCTTATCCATTCAGCAAATTAGATCAATGTTTAAAAGTGTGACTAATGAAACCAGTAGTGGTGTCACATACTTGTAATGACAGCACATGGGAGGCAGAGGAAGGAGGATTAGGAGTTCAAGCTCATCCTCAGCTACTTAGTGAGGTGGGGGAAAGCCTGGGCTACAAAAAGCTCTGTCTCAATTAAAAAAAAACTCAAGAGAAAAACAAAACAAAACAAAACAACAAAAACACAACCAACCAAACAGCAACAGCAAAAAGCTGGATGTGATGGCGTGTGCCTTTAATCCCAGCACTAGAGGGACATATGCAGGGGGGTTCTGTGAATTGGAGGCAAGCCAGGGCTCCATAGAGAGACCCTGTCTCAAAAACAAACTGCAAAAAAGACAGCTCCTCAAAAAGCCTAAAAATAAAACTAATGAGAAACATGTTTTAAAGATTTATTTTATTTTGCCAGGGGTGGTGGTGGTGCATGCTTTAATCTCAGGAGGCAGATCTCTGTGAATTAATTAGAGGCCAGCTTGGTCTACAGAGCTAGTTCTATGACAGCCAAGGCTACATAAAGAAAGTCTGTCTCAGAAAAAGGGATTTATTTTGTGTGTATGACTGATTTGCTTGCATATAAGTCTGTGCACCATGTGAACACCTGGTGTCTTCAGAGGTCAGAAGATGACATCATATCCCCTGGAACTAGTGTTATGGATAGTTGGCCCTATAGGTGCTTAGAATTGAACCCCAATCATCTGTAAGAACAAGTGCTCTTAACCACTGACCCAGAGCACATACTGTACCAAATGAGCTAGCTAGCCCTCCTATCTTATCAATAGAGTTACTTTTCTAAGGATTTAGATCAGTTGAGGCATCAGGGTTTTTTTTTTTTAAAAACAAGAAATAATCGAATAATAATTTCTAGTATGTAGAAAGCAGTCAATTGAAAAACAAAATTACGATATCATGATGATGGTTGGTATACATAATGATGGTCTTGGATTAACTAACTCTTCTCTGGATGGTTTTAATGCTGACTAGTATAAAAAAGGGTTTTTAGAAATGGGTGACCCACATATATGATAAAGAGCTATAAGTACATCTCCTAACTTAAGGATAAGATTAAGCAGGAGGCTGTATTTTGAATAACGAACTTGGCTGAGCCTTCACATTCCAACATGTTTACACACACATCACTGATGTACTGGATTTTTTTTTTGGGGGGGTGGGGGTTGTTTTGGTTTTGTTTTGTTTTGTGTTTTTGTTTTTGTTTTTCGAGACAGGGTTTCTCTGGCTTTGGAGGCTGTCCTGAAACTAGCTCTTGTAGACCAGGCTGGCCTTGAACTCATAGATCCTCCTGCCTCTGCCTCTGCCTCCCGAGTGCTGGGATTAAAGGCGTGCACCACCACCGCCCGGCTGAATTGCTTTATTTTTCCTCAGAGGAAATGGATTTAATCACATCGTCTCTTCCTGTAGATTACATGTAAATGGCAGTTCAGGTGTGCTGCCGGAACCCCTGAGTTTAATGACATTAGCAATATCTCATATGTGGGTACTAATGGCATATGTTGTGCTACCTTAGCCTATGAAATATGAGGGAGATCACAAAAGTCCTAAAACAAATATAAAATGGATGCTCTTTATTTATGTAAATTGTTGATTTCATACAGATTCTGAACTTGAAAGTCACTTTTGGGAGAAGGAATACGGGTCGTGTCCAAGTTGTGTGATGGTTAGCATGCATTGGGAAGCTGCCCCTGACATCGTAAGAAAGTTGTATTCATTTATCATCTTCCAAGCATAATCTAGGCTTCTGGAAAATTAGACCCAACCACTTTGTTCTACATTCACTTTCAGGGGGTGGATGAGCCATCCTTGGGATTCTCAATTCCCCTTGTATCTCTGCCATTCTGGGACAACTTATGGCGCTATGAAGGGCTCATAGTGTCAGGGATTCTGGGATTTATGCCATGTGCAAAGTGCCCTCACCTGGACCTGTAATGGTTAGCTACAGAAACAAAGTCCCCTTTTGATAGAGCTGTCCCCACTAGTTTCCCCCCTCTCCTATCCTCTGTATGGCCCTCTCCTGTGGCGGTCCTTCCCCATTGGCCAGCCAAACACAACCGACTGTAGCAGCCAATGGGAGCCGCCCTCTTGAACATTCAGAGGGTGGGTGCTCGTGGTGTGATGAGGGGAGGCTGGCGCCTGGTACGCGCCCCCCTACATCTGGTAAGTCTTTGACAGAAACTGTAACACCCCCTACACACTCACACCCGTGCCCCGTGTCTGCCTCCTGTCAGCTGCGTGGAACCCCTCCAGAAGCCACTGAGTATATCAGTGTCCTCCTAGTGCCTTCCCCAATTTCTTAGACCCCAAAATGCACCTGCTTACTTAGTAAGATAGAATACTTCTTTATCCTAAGAGTTGGGGGAGGCAGGGATCCACAAGGGCACAGCTGCCAGCCGCCGTGGAGGTGAAAGCTTTATCTGATCCCCCACCTAGTGCTGCACAGGACCCGAAGCTCTCCAAGTGATGCCTTAGGGTACAGTGCTCTTTGTCCTTCCCAGCTGTGCCCACTGCTCACTGACCCTGTGCGCTCTAAGTTAAGTGGGGGTGGGAAGCCTGAATCCCACCGCAGAACTGGCAAAAAAGAAGGGAAGGCTAGTCTGAGGTGGAGTGTGCCACTCTGCTCATCCCTTCCCTGCTCTGCTCAGGCTTTCTCCCTCCAGTGTGTCCCTGGGGTCCAGACAGGGGAGGGTCTAGGCGAAGGTGCGGCGTGGCCTGAGCCTGCAGTCCTGGAGCTCACACACAGGCGGGAGGAGGGGGCTCTAGGCTGCCTGGCTCTCCATTTCTTCTCTCTCAAGCTTTTGTGTCTGTGCCTTGGAGCTGCAAGGAGGGTGCACTGGGGAAGCAGGAGGGGTGCCTAGGATAAGAGCACCCCCTTCAAGCGCGCGCACACACACGTTGCCGGCGCACGCACACACAGGCGGACACACACTTCAGACACGCACACGCGCGCGCGCGTGCACACACACACACACACACACTCACACGCACAAAGCTCTTTCGCCCTGAGCGCACTAACGTGGCCGCTTTCTTTGTGTGGAGCCCTCAAGTGGGGTTGGGACCCCGGTCCTGTCCCGGGGAGATGGCGCAGCCCATCTTGGGCCATGGGAGCCTACAGCCCGCCTCAGCTGCTGGCTTGGCATCCCTGGAGCTCGATTCATCGATGGACCAGTATGTGCAGATTCGTATCTTCAAAATCATCGTGATTGGGGACTCCAACGTGGGCAAGACCTGCCTGACCTTCCGCTTCTGCGGGGGGACTTTCCCAGACAAGACTGAGGCCACTATCGGTGTGGACTTCAGGGAGAAGACCGTGGAAATCGAGGGCGAGAAGATCAAGGTGATCCAGCTGGTCAGGTCCGGGAAGGGAGGGACCTGGGGAGGGGGTTTCGCCTGGGGTATAGCTCTAGTGACAATAAATGTCTACCTTTGGCTGTGTCGCCACCTGCCGAGCTCAAGACCCTCGCCACATCCTTACCCCTTTTAGCTTCTTTCAGGGACCCCATCCCCACCTAACCCAATTTTTCTGGCAAGCCAGAGTGGTTGCATTTTTTTCCCTTTGCCCTCACTCTGCAGCTCCTGCCTGGAAAAGCAGGTTTGAAATTGTTCTCGACCCTGAGTGGGAGAGACACTCCTGGACGCAGGAAGGCCAGAGACATCTCTGGTGCTAGTCTTGTGGAATGGATCCCAAAGCACTTCTCACATCTTGAGGTCTTTTTACCTCTTGGGTGCCAATAGGCTGTAAAAAAAAAATCATCTTGGCTAAGCCCTGTAACATTAGGAAGGTTGGGAATTCATGGAGCATGGAAACGGCTTTATTTTAAATTATAGTTTACACTTCAGATTAGGACTGAGTTTGAATGGAGGTGGAGTTGAGAGGTGTTTGAGACAGAGTCACCTGCTGGCTCTTCATAATCACCAAAACTTGCTCTTCGGGGGCAGTCCCTCTCCAGTACTTATTTGTCTGCTTGCTTTGGGGAACCTAATGAACGAAGTACCCATTACTCATTTTGCTGGCATTGTCTTCAGAAAGCCTCTTGGGGGAAATGTAGAGCAATTTAACTGAGGGCCAGGGGAAGTGCCTTGACTCTCTCCCCCATAGTGTATTAAGTAGGTCAAGCAAAAATATTTTGTATGTTCATTTAGTGCAGTAAAAGTAGAAACTCAGTAAGATGTCAGTGTGCACGGAGGCGGTGGCAGAAAGCAGGGAATGGCAAGGGCAGCTTTGTGTGTCATGGAAATCTAAGGCAGCACTGTGGATACTAAAGACCAGTCCTCTAGACTCATAGTTGCCTTTGCTTGAGAGCCTGTAGTAGTTGGACCTCAGGGAGAGACAAAGGTGAAGGTAAACTTCTTGCTGGTCAAACAACTGAAGTTGCCGCATGTCCTGTCTTCTAAGTGAAGTGGAAAGAAGAAACTGGGGAACTGGAGGGCTGATGGAACCTCTCAGATTGTGAAAGATTTCTTGGTGATTAAAATGATTGCATTTTAAAATGGCTCCAGAAAACAAGCCAAGACACTGCGCTTCAGGAAGACTGGTCGAAGATAAGGAAGAGACTCTGGGTCTGGGAGATAGGACATTCTTTTGAGCTTGTGATCTTTTTTGCTTCTCCCATTTCTGAGGAGAGGGGGATTGCTCCATGTCCTTTTAAAATCAATGCGGGTATCTGTCGCTATCTTTTTCAAGGAGTCTCATGTTGAATGTTTGCATAAGTCAGGGCTTCTTCCTGTATGGTGTCTACTTTCTTTAATATATGCCTATCAGCCACTGGAAAGTTTAAGATGTGGGGTTCTCCCCCAAAGTAGAAATAAATCAATGGATGCATTTTGAAACACTTTCAAAATCATTCACATTTCATGCTACCATTTATTAAAAATAAAGTGTTATGATGAGCTAAAGAGTTCGCTTACAAGTCAGGCCAGGGTGGTAAAGCCATCTGAAATTTGAGTGGTAAGAAGGAGGAAGTGTGTGGGGGTCTAGGAGAAAGGGGAGATGAATGTGGGTAGAAATGAAAGGTTGGTGGTGAACAGTGGATAGAGTCATTGCCCAATGACCTTGGGGGAGGGTTTTAAATCACTCCTCGCTTCCTATCACCCCTGGATTTAACCAGATGGGTTTCAGAGTCTCTGCCAAATATCCCAGACTTTTTCCCCAGAGGGCAGAGCCTTTGACGGTGTGACTCACTAGAAACAGAGATCAGCACACCACCACGTGCAGATAAGTGCTTAATATGGGCTGGGCGGGGGGGGGGGGAGATGATATTTTCAAGAGGACAAAGCCTTGTAACAGTTCAGGAGGAACCTCTGAGGACCAATTCGGCAAGAACCCTCAGTGGAGTGTCGGCCCTGGGAGATGGTCACCCTGCTCCCATTTAAGCGGTTGAAACACCAAGGCCAAAGCTGGCAGGTGAGAGACCAGCGTGTCTGGAAGATGGCAGAACATGGCAACTGGCAGGAGACCAAGAAAGAAGTAGATTGTGTCTCATGCTTTGACTGCTTGCAAGGAACAAGTGCCAAAACCTGGTTTGAAGATGACTGTCAAAGCTAGTCGTCCTTTGGGGGGGGGGGTGGAGAGAGAAAGCGGCAGCGTGGTTGGCGGAGGCAGCCCTAGAGCTCAGCCAGCAAGAGTAGCTGTCAGATTCTAAAGTAGATTATAAAAGAAAAGCCCTTACAGTGGAGTGGTAGAGACCCCTCAACTGGCCTCGTCCATTCTAGAATAGGGTATAACCTCTCCTAGGCCTGCCCCCTTGTGTCCCAGAGCTGGTACACATGACACCCTAAGTTGGGGATGCCTGATTTGCCATATTCAGAGCTACATCTTCCTCATCAGGGCTATCCTTAGGGGAGCAAAGCTTCATTTGTTTTCTCTGATTACCATGTCTCCACTTGTACCTCATAACGTTTACAATCCAGTGTTTCCTTGTTAACACATACTCAAAACCAAACCAAACAAAAAACCAACAAGCCCCAAACCCCATGGTTGGGGAAGAGAGCTACCTCAGAGGTCAAGAACACTTGAATTTAGGCCCTGTACAATAACAAGTGCTCTAGGACCTGGTTTCAATTCTCAGCACCCACACATTGACTCACAGCCATCCATAACTGTAGCTTTAGGGAACGGAGCACCTACAAGTTCACCACAAAACACCCATACACACAAAATATATCTAAAATAAATTCAAAAGAACTGCCTCCAATCATTCTGGTTAATAATTGAAAGCTTCTGTTTATTGGGGCTGGAGAGGTGGCTCAGTGGTTAAAAGCACATACTGCTTTCCAGAGGACTCTATACCTCCAGTGTTATGGGTACCTGATGCCTCTGGCCCTTACAGAGACATTCATTCCTGTGCACATACCCGCAGAATTACAAATAATAAAAATTAATCCAAACTAAACAAAACACCTTCTGTTTATTGACTAAACAAAGCCCAGGCTAGTCATTTTATGTCTTACTTGATACAGCAACCCTAGGAGTTAAGATTTTAAAATATTTTCAATTAAAATAATCTACATGTAGTGTGTGCGCATGCGCGTGCGCGTGTGGCCACATGTATTCCATTGTGCACATGTGGTGGTCAGAGGACAACCTGTAGAACTCGTTCTCTCTTTGCACCCTTGAGTTTCAGCAATTGAAGTCAGGGCGTTAGGCTGGGTGCCAAGTGCTGAACTATCTTGCCAGCCTGGAATTGGGATTCTTGTCGTTTCCCTTTGACAGATAAAGAAAGTTTGAGAAGGATGAAATAGCTTGCCCATAGGCACAGGGATCTTTTGCAATTGCTAGGATTTCAGCTGAGATCCAGAGTCCATGTTCTTTACATTGAGCTCTACGTTAGAAGAGCTAGTCCCCTAGGTTGGGAGTGATGATAGACTACCAAGCAGTCAGTCTTATTGTGTATAGGCAAGGGAGTAAAGGCTAGGGTCCAAGGATACAGGTGCCTTAAAGTTGCCTCCTTCAGGTTTGGGGATGTAGTTCAGTGGTATAGTGTGTTTTTAGCATATATAAGGTCTCGAATCATGATGTCCCCAGCACCACTAAATAAATTTAAAAAAAATTTTCAAGCAAGAAATCTGTTTTGCTTGCACGCATGACACTTAACAGAGTACTTGGACTTTCCTTTTCACACTTTGGCTGTCTCACTCTAGGCATGAGAATTACAGGTGTCCAGAGTTTAGACCTTAGAAAAAAGTCTGTAATCCAAACCTCATTTTGTAGGTGGGGAACTGGAGCTCTGAGAGGGAAAGTGACTGATGTAAGGTCAAACAAGATCAAGCTTACAATGAGGGCCTACTAATCCCGTTTCTGCTGTTCTTTCTGTGTTTCCTATTAACAGGCTTACAAGAGTACCAAAGTTATAAGTCCATTTAACTCAGAAGGGTTTCTATTTGAGCAGCATGGCGAGACACAACACAGGAAAGCTGGCAGCTTTTCCTGATCAATCTGGGAAAGATAGAGACATCTTCCAACTCCCAAAGGAAGGGAGGAGCTTCTCTTAATAACCATTATGCATTATGTATGTGTCACCTACAGGTTTAGCAAAACCATATTGTGTCTGTCTTGGGCTAAAAGCATCAGAAGCCAATGAATAGGGCTGGGGGTGGGTAGGCATTGCCGAAAGTAACCCTTCTATCTGGTTTGGGTAACCCTACAGGCTAAGCAGCACCACAGTGGGTCAGCCATGGCTCTAGGCCAGCTGCAGGGTTCTTCCCTTCCGCTGATCACTGGGGAAAACACCTTCCTGTGTTACATTACTAAGTGCAAGGAGGCTGAGCTCAGTGTGACTTACAAGAAGCCTGCAGTCAGAATGACATCATGTCTTCTGTGGGGCTTCTAAATTTCCATCTTCTGTCAGATAGCTTAATGGTTAATTATCCATCACTGTGTGCATCCCTTGTTGCCTCCCCCTTTCTTCCTTTCCATCTTCCTTCCACTCCTTCTCTCCCCCTTTAATTTTCTCCCTTTGCTAGTATGGGTGTGGGTGTGTGTGGACGCATGTGCACCTGCCTGCCAGTCTGTCTGCATCCTTTTCATTGCCATGTGTGTCAGCTTTGTGTATGTGTACATCTTAGATACATGTGGGACAGTCCAGCTAATTAATAAAAATATTTCTGTTAGTTGAGTGGTAGTGGCACACACCTTTAATCCTAGCACACAGGAGACAGAGGCAGGCTGATCTCTATGAGCTTGAGGCCAGCATATTCTATGGAGCTAGTTCCAGGACAGCTTGGCTACACCAAGAAACCCCGTTTTGAAAAAATGAAATGAACAACAACAACAAAAAAGATTTCTTTTAAACTTCCCCTATCATCCATGGGAGTATCCACCAAAGGTTGCAAATGTTT